AAAGCCGATGAGGTGGGACACATACTCTGCACATCCTACTGGCATCACTGCAAGGACTTCTGACGGTACCCCTGGAGAAGTGATGCTTTGGGGACACTAACCATCTACCCCACACGCTCGGAGTGGGAAGGTGGTAAGAGTAGAATGTGTCTTTAGCAGCAGTAGTAGGACTAGAGTTGAGGGTAAGGTAGGGGTAAGTTGGTAACAGTACTGTTATGGACTGAATGTCTGTGTCCCCCAAAACTTGTGTGCTGAAGCCTAATCCCCAATGTGATGGTATTTGGAGGTGAAACCTTTGGGAGATGATCGGTTCAGATGAGGCCATGAGGGTGGAGCCCCGTGATGGAAATAGTGTCCTTATAGGAAGCGAAGGAGAGACCAGAACTCACTCTCTCCATCATGCGGGGACAGTGAGAAGGTGACTGGCTACAAGCCAGGAAGTGAGCTGTCACCGGGAACCGAATCTGCCAGCACCTTGATCTGGGGTGTCCAGCCTCTAAAACCATGAGATGTACGTCATCATGGTGTAAGCCACCCGGGCTGTGGTATCTCGTAGCAACCCAAGCTCACCGATACAGTTAGAGATGGAGAAAAGTAGACATAGTTAAGAGCTATTTGTGAAGTGTATCTGCCAGTGTCCTGGCAGGAAACAGATGGCACATTAACGAGGATTAATTGAGGACATTAATAACAAGGATATTTACAACAGTATAGAGAGTGTTGAGAAAACCAACAGTGAAGTCGTGAAAACAAGCAATGGTAGTTATGAGCCCTGCCCTGAAGTGGGTTTTGCCAGACCCACTGATGGCCACTTCCATGCAGGAGTGTCTCTGTGGAGAGCTGGGGCTAAAAGTGCGCAAACATGGCCAAGGCCCTGGGCCAGCAGCAAGGGAACAGGAGGAAACCCCCGCCCTCTTTCCTTCCATGCCTCTCCATGGCTGTATTGATTAAGGAGGCCAAAAACACCAGGCGATACAGTCCATGGAGGTGAGTGTCACAGAGCACAGACAGGACATGGCTTTGGAGGGACATGAAGACAATCACCAGCATGATCCGCCCTTTTTACCACTTAATGTACAACCTGTCCTTCTTTTCGATGGAAAATTTCGCACACCCAACAAAAGGAAACTCATTTCCCATCAAACCACTGTCTCCTCATAAAAGGATGTCCGTTTAATCAAGCTTCCACTAAGAACCAAAATGATAATATTATCCGTATCCAGAGTCCTTTGTGAAAAGTGGTGTGGGGGCGGGGGAAGGCATGGGGGAGGGAAGAAAGGATAAATATACAGCAGAGCCTCCCTTGCACAGCCTAAATTCACCATCCCACCTTCCCTCTTATCTTCAGCTGGCATGGCGTGTTGGCTCACAAAATGTTTTGCTTGTTTATTTGTTTTTTCTTAAGTCCTATCAATAAAGGGTGTCAGTCACTAGTGGACATACATTTGTTCAGTTCCTATTGTTTCCCATTGACCCTGATGATGAGACAGCAGCAGAGGGTGGCAGCTCAGTGAACCTGGGGGTTTCACAACCTCCCAGCTGTCATCGTGTGAAATCAACCCAACTTTCCCTTAGTGACTGAGGTGAACCATACTGAGTAGTACAGTGACCTCCTGTGTTCCTCCTTCTGTGTCTCAAAGGCTAAGAGGCAGCCTTAGCTTGTCACTCAACAAAACCATGGCAGTGTTCCCAAAAGCATTCCTCCCTTGGATGCTGGGTCTCCAGATACAGGAAACCCAAGACTGCGGAGATGTGAGGCAAATGTCTGAAATTGGGTAATGAGATGTGACAGTGAGACAGGATTCCTGCTCCCGCCCCTTGGCTCCTGGACCCACGGAGTTTGGCTGCTGGGGAACAGAATACCATACGTTGGCCCTGGTGTAAAGGCTTATACTATCCATTGAAGGACAGTGTCTTAACCTTGCAGGGTGTTCCCTCCTAATCAGTGCCATAATTTAGCATTCATCGAACTTACCATGGTATCACACCAGCTGCTTCTGAGCAGTAAGGAGGCCAAAGTTCCTTTGTCAACATAGGAGTTCCTAAGTCTCAGGCAATGGTCTCTGTGGTGACATGCTCATGAGTTAAGGCATTCCATAAGTCCACAAATGATGTTGGCACAAATTTTACGGGTAGGGTTGGCAGATGAGTATTTGGAAGGTTTTTGAGGACAAATCACAGCCCCCTCTGTAATGAAACAGTTCTAATATAGCATCCAATATGTGGCCAAGTCTCCCCCCTGAGAAAGGCCATATCAAGCATTCAACATTGGCCTCTTGTGTTGGCAGGTTGGGCCCCCTCAGAAGTGGCTGAAACCACACTGGGCTTGGTGCAAGGGAGCCCATGTTGTTCGTCTCACACAAGAACCGCACTGTTGCTGCTGGGACACTTGTGCAAGGTGTCCAGGGCAACTTGGAGCACCTGCAGGAAAAGGCAGTCTTCTGTCACACAAGAGGCCACTTGGTCTGCTGAGGGCTTCCTGGGAAATGAGTGTCCTCTACTTGGCATATCTCTTGCAAGACACGGGATCTTCATTCTCTGTCACCGCTCTGAATGGTCCTTCCTCACTCCTCTTCCCTGGCCTCCTGGTCACCAATCTTCCAAGTAGCCACTGTCCAAGAATCAGATCTGAACATCAGGCCATCCCCCCTTCCAGGAACTGGACAACCAGCAGACAGCTGGAGGTGTGTGCCCTAACTTCCTTGACCATCGCGAAGGGGCTGGCGTATAGCAGCCAACTCTTAGCTGGCGCAGATGTGCCGTGATGGCCTACCTGTAAGCCAGGTAAACCCTTTCCCTCCTCCGTAACTCATCATAGGGAACTCCCTAGGAGGCCTCTTAATATGTGCTGAGGGAAAGGCAGCAAGGCCACAGGAACAAGGCCTGTGGGAGTCAATCCTGAGCAATTTATTTGTGCCCGGTACACCTGCTCATGGCCAGTCCTGCATATACAACTTCCATGTTATAACAAAATGCTGCTGTGCATATTCAAAATGAACTTTTATGACCCAATGCTTTGTATAAACCCCAATTTTGACAAATTATGTCATAGCATAGCAACATAGTTACTGATATCCCCAGGTCAGATTTTCAGTCTCTACCTGGGTCTAGGAGCAAACCAGGAGCAGCTTTTCAAATGTAGAATATTATGATCAGGAGTAGGCATGGTCTTACTCAAAACCCCTAGGCCTGTGTGTCAGTCTGCTACCGGAGCTTTCCAGAACCTCCGGAAGGCATCATCTCCCTCTACCACAGACACTTCTAGGTACCAGCGGATCTACTAGGGATTAAGGTCCAAGTAGCAAGACAGTTTTCACCATACCTCAACTCTTTGCACAGCCTTCTCCTACTCCAGATTCCTTTCAGAGCTTAGAAATTGAAGGCTACCTGGAGGCAGAGCAGCAAAATCAACATGATCTATGTTGTGCCAGAATCCAGAGAGATCCTCTAAGGGCTATGCCCTGAAACTGGCCTCTTACTTTGGAGGAAACATCTTTAAATGTGAGACAAGTGGACCCCGAGGAACTCCCCAGTGTGGCAGACATCTGGAGATCCAGAGTGATTATCCCCTCATGTCGCCAATTAGGTTGCTTGTAAACACTGTCTCTGACGTCCATTTAACATGAAGTTACTGATATGATAGACCAGTGTGATAAGAATATATGGGATAGTCAAGGTTCCTCCAGAACTGTGCCAAAAAACAGGAGGTTGGGCATAGCCCTGTGCTATGGCAATAACGGTTTATGGCTTCCCTGGCAGATGAAGGCAAACTCCCTCTGGTTATCTTTACTGATGGGCATTGCAAAGAAAGTTTACCCAATCAATGGGTGCATGGTATATATTAGCGGCCAGAGGCTATGTTGATTTATTCCAGTGAACATACTACATCTGGTACAGCAGCTGTGATTGTTATCACTACTGATTAAGTTTGTGATAATCCAAGTCATTCTGCAAGATCCATCTGGCTTTTCTACCAGCCAAAGGAGTGAGTTGGAGGAGGGTGTGATAGGAATCCCCACTTCTGCATCTTGACATCTTGATGGAGACACAAATCTCCATTACTCTCCCATGTCATTCCGTTTACTATTTTGAAGATGAAGGCCTTTCCAGGAATTTCCATTTGGGTCCTTGCTACCATAATAGTGCTTGCTCCAATAGCAAGACCTCTGTGGGGATTCTGATGGTTGTTAAGTATATTTATAGTCTCCAAGACTTTGTAAATAGCCACAGATAAGCTCATAGCCTACCTGGACCCTCTGTGAAATAGATTCATGCCGCCTGTCTATCACCTGCTTTTCTTTGGCCAACAGACCATCATGATATTTTGTGTCTCTAGGGATTAACATCCTGTCAGATAGATTATTTTATAATCCCTAGAAAATCTGGATTGTTTCCATTCCTCAGTGTACAGTTGTCCTGTTGATTGATCACAGGTCTGTCTGGGGATGTTTGGAGAAACAGCCATGCTCTGCCTTTTTGATAAGTGGCAAGGTTCTCCCAAACATCTGGTGAAGATAGGTAGATGAAGGAGCCCTTCACTGAGCTATGGGCTTTTCAAGGGGGCCACTACTGGGCACAACGGTGGATTCAAGGGGGGAGAAAGAGAAGCCAGAGCCCCATTTGTGACATGTTGAATTAAAGATGCTTTGAAACATCCAAGTGGCAATGTCTAATAAACACTTGAATACAGGAGCCTAAGCCAGAAATCTCAAATGGAAAGGCATTAGCAACCAGACGGCAATTGAAACCATCAACCTGGATAGGAACTTAGTGGAAAGGCAACATTCAAGATTTCTGTAGAAAAGAGGACCCAGCAAAGAGGTCTAAGACACATCCTCCAGCATGGTACAAGAAAAATCAGAAAGATGGGATAAAGTGTTTCAGGAAGTAGGAAGTAGTCAGTCTATTGCATCAAGTATTGCTAGAAATTTAAGAAAAAAAAGGAGGAAGAGAAAATGCCTTTTTCATTTGGTGACACGGAGATAACCAGTGACCTTTGCAAGAGCTGTTCTGTCAAATTCTGAGGGCAGAAGCCAGGAGGGGTTTTCACCAGTGCAACAAAACACTGCTTATATCAAATAATTCTGTCCTTCAAAAACCAGATGGCTTCATGTTTTTTGAGCTTTTTTATGTGTGTTGATTTTGATTCCTCCTTTATTGCATTTTTATGATCCATATTCCAGAGGCAATTAGCCACGGACAATCCGTTTACTTAGCTTGCTCTGACATAAATTTGGCTCAAGCCTGATCCATATACCTGTGAGGTCTGTTCAAAAGGGTTAAGCTTCCTGAGTTATGTATTTGTCTCATATGCTTTTGTGAGGATAAAACAGAAGTAGCTGGGAGACAGTTGGGAAGTTCTCAGCATGCTCAAAGCGTTGCTTCGTCATTTCGTCATTAACACAGCATCATCTATCACAAAGAAAAATCAGCCTAGGATTTTTTGAGCCAAACATCACAGCCTTTAATTCCTCTCACTAACTGTGGCCAGAAATTCAGAAATTTGCACGTCATGTTACGTTTAGCTCTCCCATGCATTTATTTTGCTTCTGAAATATTCACCCATGCAGGGGATCTCTCTTCCCATCTATCAGTTTGTGTAGTCTTGGATCTCTACACCTGCTGGCTTTTTGCATTGTGATTCATAGGTGAATTACACTGGGCATGAAATCAATGTATTAAGTTCCTTTGGGAATTTAATCATTCCAAAAAGATAGAGACATGGTGACACAAGGATGACAGAGTGGATAGGACCTCACTATTGACTTGTAAAGAACATTAATGCCTAAGCAGGAAGTTTGGCTAACTAAGCATTAACTGGGGATTTAACCACCCACGATTCTGTGATGAAGGTGAACCCAAAACAGCACCAGCCTGTGAAAACTAGACATGGACCGACAGCACCAGGAGTCTATTAAAATGGTTCTCTATGTGCTGACTCAGGACACTTAGTAAAGAGACTCATTCCCAAGGCTTCAGTCATTTGTTTGGATATGAATGGCATTCTGGTTTCTACATCTCCCATTCAGTGCAGAAGTGGTTAGGTCTTTTGTAAACCCAGATTGTTTCCATGTGATAAGAATTTACACACGGTATAAATTCCCCTTGACGTGTCCCATGTTTTTGACTCTTGGAATGTAGATCAGTCAGTAGCAAGGTGGATGAATCCCTCAAATTGTTGACTCCCCTGTGGACACAGCTCTTCATCCTACACGGGAAAGAGAAGCACACTTTTTCACATGGAAGATGAGTCTGAAGAGACTCATCCAACAGATTTGGAAGTGATACTGAATAATAAGTAGGTTGGAATGCCCCAGCTGGTTGTTCAGTGATGATCCCCACGTAGGCCGCACTTAAGAACACACAAGGATTCGTTCACCATCTTTCCCCCCGCACCCGTGTCCGACAGGGTACTCTGTAAATTGTGGGTGCAAATCAAGGGGAACTAGTGCAAATAAAGGAGAGAAATGATGACATCAACAATAGTGTGTTAACTGCTCTGCAGGGAGGGCCTCGTTCGATCCTCACATCAGCATTTGGAGCTGGAGATCAGAGCCCCCACTGGGTGAGTAAGCACGGGGGGGGGGGAGGGGGTGACATATCACGGTTACTGAGCAGACCTGGCACCTGAAAAAAAAAACAAAAAAAAAAAAACGAAATAATTGTCACATGTAGTGAGGCAGAAATTGAGCATAAACTTTTTTCTTTTCTAATACGGACTTTTTAAATATTTTCTGAATGTGTGATTTTTTTCTAAATTAAAAAGCCTGCAGTTTTATATAAAAAACAATCTTATCAAAGGAAACATCCCTTTGAGAACTTAATAATTAATTCTGAGGGAGACAAACTTGAGGAGAGTCAGAGGAGAGGTAGCATAAATATTGACATAGACAAAGGGCGTATGATTTGGCTAGCTGCCTGAAATTCTTTCTCAAGGTGAGTGTCGAAGTGTCAGGCGGAGAAAACACAACAGAGCTGAGCCCACCAAGAAGACGGCTCTGTGGGGAAAAGTAACATGATTTATCATAGGAAAGGAACCTGACTAGGGAAGAGAGAAGAAAACTTTTTAAACCCTAGTGTCAAGGAATGTCCCACTCATTAGAAGAGACATAGACAAGTAGAATGGAGCGACAGTGGATGGCATGTGTAGGTTTTGTTCTCTATTTCTGAAACGTGCAATTCTAAAAATACGCATTTTTAGGAACAAAAATTTTAAGTCAAATTCACTTCCGTTGGTACAAAGTTGAAATGACTGTATGAAGAAGAAGTGGATAGTCACGGATCTTCTAACTAGCAAACACTTGGAAATGTGCCATGTTATTCACTCATAGTACAAGTGCTTGCACTAACTGGAGGGGCCCTACTCACTCATCTCACAAGGGACCCTCGGTGAGCCAGCCACCGGGCGCCATCCTTCATGGGCGTTCTTCTGCGTCTTCTGAGCGGGCCTGGGCAGCACAGCTGAGGTTGATGAAAATCTCATGCATCAGCAGACAAGTGATGTGTGTTTGGGCAGGTATACCATCCCAGCTCACTCCGCAAAGCCCAGCCTTAACCCTCATGCTGGATGGCCTCCTTCAGACAATGGGGTAATTTCTGTTTGCCAGTCAATGTCCTTAACAGTATTTTATGCAAAACACCACGAAAAACACGAGAAACTAAAATGTTTAAAACTCAGAGCAAAGCAGTTCTGTGTCCTTGCTTTAGCAAGTTCTGAAACCAAAGTGAACTATAAGTTTCTCTTTGCTGTTTTCATATGAAGGTTTAATGACTGTTGACACCAATTTGCAGAGGAATACTGTTTACTCAGGCCCGAACATTTTTTCTTTGCTTTCTTTTCAGTATGTTGCCTTTTCTTAAGCTGGCCTTTTAAATATCTCAGTAATTGGAACTGTAATGGAGATGACAAAAAAAAAACAAAAAAAAAAAAAACCAAGCTGTTTCAAACTGGCCATGATAAAACACTGCTCTCTTCTTTCTCCCTTTTTCTTTCTTCTATTATGAATGATTTTCCGAATGTCTGATGATGTGTTTTATTATTAACAACATTAGACATAATTATTAAATTAGACATGGGCTAATGTTCACTGTTAATAATCTGGGACTTGGATGGGGAGATGTTTTGTGCAAAACCCAGGCAAGTAATGAAAATTCTATCAGGGTCCAGACACAGGAGAGTTATGGAATTTTTTCTTCAGGATATATTTTACAAGACAGGAAAAGAGCCACAGAGCAGTCATGAAGAATCCTTGGCCTGGAGACAGCATTAGCTTGGTCAAGACAAGCTGTCTGATCCGTAAGATCATGATGATGGTTACAGTGATGCCCTTCGCAGAGCCTCATGAAGGACACATAGACTGCACTACAAGAGCGCGTATTAAGTGCTCAGAAGTATTGCTATGCACGCACCAAAGAGCTTTGCAAAGGAACACAGAGCGAGACCCACTGAATTCCAAAGGATGTCATGGTCTGAAGGATAAAATGCCGTAAATACTCAACACGGAACACTGTACACTAAATACCCATTCCTGGCAACGTCCATTGGAAGAGCTATTTTACAGGATAATCATATGATTTGTGGGGAGTGCTTACAAGTGAATTCTAGGATGTGGTTTTCCATGTTCTCAGAGAGCTAATGGGCATTTTTATGGACCTCTAACTTCCCCCCAGAAATCTCCCGGCATATCCTATCATTCCAAAGCAAATAAGACCACAATGAGGATAAAACTGTTTTGCTCCCTAGTGACACACGGCGATTAGTCATCGTCCCATGAAACAAAACTTAACCCCTCTGGTGGTGTTTCAGGAAACTCAACGAGGCACATAGTAGTTTCCCCTCTGAACTGAACCTGCTTTGTTTTTCATCATCTTCCCCGAACGGACTTCACCTGAAGGATACACACAGGCACTCACACTCGATGAAGCGGGACCAAACACAGTCTTTACTTGGCTCTTGGCTGTGACCCTCTCAGTGTGCACAGACCCAGGGAGGGCATGCAGTTTATCTTATGCCACAAGAAAACCCACCTTCATGGTCACTTCACTGATGAAAGACATCCTATTTTTCTTCTCACGGCCTTTTCTCTCAGCCTGCTGGGGTTCCCCAATGTTTCCATTTTGTAACCCCCCCAAGAGTTTAAGTGACCCGATCAGGTCTCTGCATCACTCCTCTGGAGACGCAACTTCCGATGTATTCTGTGCTGATTGTGCACGATATCCAAACACATTAACGTCTGGAAAGCAGAGCGCAGAAGGACAAAAGGAACCTGAATATTTCGCTACTCTTTTGATATCACGAAATTTTTGTAATTCTGAAGATGGCCTTGCCAGTCTGTAGAACTTCTATGTATTTCTCAGGAGGATTTGTGAATGGTAGCTCAGCATTTCCCAGACTATAATCTGTAGCACATGCTGAAGTATGCTTGCCAAAATGATGCCATGGTCCTATCACTGTGTTAAAAATCAGGAATGAATTAAGATACAGAGTATGTTTCTACTCAAGGAGTTCTCAGACTCTTGGACATATTAATATACATTGTGAACAGGTATGCAACTATTCAAAACTCTTCTGTTTGTTGGAAAGGGAGGACGTGTTGAGCTTTTATAAAACTAGCGTACTGAGTATGTTTTGGAAAATGCTCCTCCGAAACATGAAATTTTTGTCTAGAATAGAGCTAGATAAAATGATGGATTCATGGATGCTGCAGCAGGGTAGCTCCCTGGGGAACCAATAAAAAGGGGCGAGAAAAGACTGGGGCCGCGAATCAGCCCTGGGAATGCAGGAAGAGGAAAACACCACACTCACTGGAGCTCCCCGGAAAGAGAACATTTGATAGGGCCGGGAGGAATATCCCAAGACACTTGAAGTGGGAGGTGAGATCCCCAGGCAGGCGCCTGATTAACAACACAAGGTCTTTGAGCTGGGGACAGACTGATTAATGCTACCACGATCCTCCTGCTGCAGATGGTTCTCTAAATAGATGTTGACCAGACATTACGCAGGAGACCCAGTGACCACCCTGCTCTAAACCCACAGCCCTGACCTGATCCTTCTCTTAGCTGAGAACTAGTTGGGTTCTGGTTCTTTTTCTCTCTCATATTTTCCTCTTTCCTACTTCTACCAGTCTCTTGACAGATATATTTTATGTGAACAATGTGATGGAATTATGAATCTCTCTAAATAATAACTAAGAGTTCACACTTTTCCTAAAGATCCTTGGACAACATTCTAACCCATGGCTGGTATCATACATTAAAGTCTCCTACTAGGACCTTGATCTCTTCTTCTCCTATTGTACCTCTATGGAAGAAATACTATTCTTTCCAAGTATTCTTACCTTTACAATCTTGTAAAATTTAAGTATTGTTAAATGTCTTATTTGTAATCACATTTATAGAAAAAGAATCAAATAATATGTCTCCAAACTTAAACATAGGAAAATGGGAACGGGCTGACAGTCTATAAGGCACGTGTTAATCTTCTCCCATGACGAATAACTTCTCATATTGTCATGTTGTCTATCCCTCGTCCACTGCAAACTTGCCTTTTTATTAGGTTGGAGTCCTTTGAGCATGGTTCCTTTTGTCTTATTTTTCCTTCCTTTACTCACTGCCAAGCCCATAATCTGCATTCAATGAGGACTTCATGATAAGGAAGATAGAAAGTGATGATTTAAAATTTGCAAAATCTACCTGAAATTCTAAGAACTATTTTCATTTTCCAAAATGGTTTTCACTTTAGTGACTCAGAGAAAACATAAAAAAAAAAAAAAATGAACAGCTATATTCAGAGAATTTTCCCCCCATTTATACTATTTGACTAACTCATCACAAATACAGTGAAGCCCCTCTGAGTGTTCTAGAGATTTTTATTTGCCTGTGTCACAATTGAAAAAGTATTTCTTCTCCTTCTTTGGATTTTTACTGAAGATATTTTACGTTAAGGGTTTTAGCTCATTCTTGGAAAGCTTGCTGCTTTTTTTGTTGTTGTTGAGTTACAGAATTTTGTACACATAGCCAGTGTCTGTTATGTCAAAGTGGCTGGTTTTTGTCACAGCTTTTATTACTTCTTGTAAATAATTTGCATGAAATTTTTTCATGGAGACTGTTTTTAACAGAAGAGTCTAATTCTCTATTTCCTCATCTTGAAATTGGCTGGTGCTTTGCTGGCCAATCTAGGAAGACAACAATGGGTGACATGAAAGACACTGATAACAAATCTCTCAACATAGGAGCCTGAGATGCTGTATTATCAAATTGTCTCCTGAAGAGTTCCTAAAACCTCTTGCAGTCATCGCTGTAATCACTGTCTGACATTATCAAATGGACAAAATAACAATTCAGTCACCCGACAATTGTTAAGGGAATTAAGAAGGTATGGCCTGTGATGTGGATGTCACAGTAAACACTCAACACACGGGATCTATCACGACTTTGGTTAACGGCATTAATATATGTGACAAATCCGTATGTGAAATTTCACTGCGGTGCACGTCACTGGGGATCTCTTTTTTCAGCTTACCTAAACCCTAGAAAACACAGCCCAACACAACACAACAGAAATTCAGCTAAATAAAATTACAGTTTAAACATTTCAAGATATATTAATTTTGACAGACTATGGGCGGGAGTTGGGAATGTAATTCGCCTACAGTCCAGCGTTTTCCTCATTGTAGCACATCTCCTTTTTCCTGACTCTTCAAAAGCATTTTTTCTATCACTGGCCACAGGCTGTGGCTTCATTCACTCTATCGTTTTTACCTGTTTTCTGTATCATTATTTAAATTCTTCAAGATGCTCCTTTCCGTTCCCATACTCAAATCCTATAAGAAACTACATGAAGTACTTTCTGACTCCTATGCTATCACCATTCCTCACATTTGCTCAGGCTTCACTGAATTTAAATACTGAGACTTTTCTAAGGCCATGTTTCATCTTGTCGGTGTGTTGTTGTTTCGATGTATTTATTTTTTTTCCTCCATAACATAGCATGGGCCATGAAATTAGAGACGTCCCTATGGATAACTGCACAGTGTTAGGTTTGCACAAGTGGGGCGATGCATAAATTAGATGTATCAAGTACAAAATAGCTAGCAGGGTGGGGTGCCAGGTTAGAAATCATCTTTAAGTAAAAAAATAAAATATATAAAATAAATCATCTTTAAGGAAATGGAGAGCTTCTGTGCAGTCTTGTATCCTGTGGTTCAGACTCCTGTGGTACTAAGTTTCTCTCTTTGTAAGTCTCTCTTCCTCTTCCAGAAGACGTCTCTAAGTTGCACTATATTTTCCTCCCCTTTATTTATTTTTTTCATATTGGGAAAGAACTGAATGTAACTCGGTTGTTTCTAATAAACCTTGACTGGCTAGGGTTTTTTGAACATAAAATAAAATGCAACCTTTGGAAGGCTATTTATCTGTCTTCAGAAAAGGTCATGGGAAGAATGCCATAGAATTTTCGAATGGTTCATCCATCAAAAATGCAGCTCCGCATTGATTCTTCCTGAACTGTCAATTTCCAAAGAGCCTCAGGGACAAGCCTCAGTCTGTGAGAAGAAATCCTTGATAAGGAAGAGGATGAAGTGATAAATGATTTTTCTGGTGTTTTCCTTTGGGAAAGACAGTCAACTTGCTCTTAGCCTCAGGCGATAGTGTTTCTCAAAGAGTGTGGACAAAAAGAGTTTGTGATGATAATGATAATGTGAATTTGACAATGTGGTTTAAGAAAAAAAAAAAGTCACTGCCCAAATTAGAGACCCCTAATAAATGACCTGATGGAGAAAACTAGCAAAGCCCAGAAATAAACGATCTTAACCCAAGGTGGATTGTCAAATACATTGTCAAATCATTCATTGACTGAATAAAGCATTTTTCAAAGGAAACTGGAAATATTATGGCAAAATAAAACTCCCATCTGGGTCATGAGACAATAGACCAAATAATCCTAAGAAAATCTCCTAGATTTAATCATTTCTAGTATTAAAAAGAAGCATATTTAGTGAGAAAAGGTGATTAAGAAAAAAGTACAAGGGTCATTTTGCACCGACTGTTATTTACATTTTTACAGCCACTTATCACGCTGGAAAGTGTTTTGTTAAATTAAACTGCCCCTCCCTGTTTTCACTCTCTTTTTGACATCAACACCCAATGGAATGTTAACATCGCTCAGTATTTGTGATTTGTTCAAGGTTTGGTGGGTTCTAGATTCCAAACGGAAGCTTCATGGTGACTAATAATGGCATGAAGGTGCCTTGTTCCACCTAAGACACCAAGCCCTGGGCAACAGTGATAAACATGATCCTTCTGTCAAAGGGTTTGTGGTCTTACATGATACACACACATAAATAGCATTTAAAATGAAGTGTGATGAGTTCTGGTTTAGTGGAGAATGCTAAGACAGAAACTGAGATTGTTGCAGAAAGTGTGAGGCCCAGGGTGAGCCCTGAGGAACCAACAGGAGCTAGTCGGGGCTATCTCACACACACACACACACACACACACCACCCCACACCCATGCACACACAATACATGCACACAACACATGAACATGCACACAACACACACATGCACACGTAGACACAAAACACACAAAACAACACACGTGTGTGCGCAAATGCCCATGGACCACACAACATGTGTGTGCCCCACAGATGATGCATGATACGTGAGCATGTGACACATACATGTATGTGCATGTGTGTGACACAACACACAACACATGTGCACACATGAAAAAGACATGCACGTATACACATATCCAGCACACAACACATGTTACACAGTGCACAGCATACAACCCACATGTATGCTCCGTGCCAGCCACACCACATGACACATACATGCACACAGACATATATACAACATACACATGCAACACAGCACACATGTATGCACACAGAGCATACAACACACATGAATGGCACACACACACCACTCACAACACACACACACACACACACAGGTGAGAGAGGAGGCATACTTTAATGTTCCAGACATGAAAACCTGCATGCCAGGAGAGGAGAAGTAGAGAGAAAACATTGCCTGGACAGAACCTGAATACACTGGATTTCAAAGATCAGGAGCAATGAGAAGATTTCTTTGGCCTGCCGTGGTTTCTAGGATGTCCCTCCTGAAAGACTGGTGCTGTGGGGCCGGGCAGGTCTTGTTCATCCTCAAGAACAGAGCAGCTGACAATCTGTGGATTTGCTGGGCCAGATTCTTTGAGAAGAGTCTGGTAAAAGGTCAAAGGTTAATCTAAGAAGAATAGAGTGATTTTTAGAGTCCAGCTTGAACCAGTTCAGTTGTTCTGTTGATATTATGATTTTTAGCCCTAGTTGGAAAGATGTAGAGGTATTATGTTCCCACCTCAGCAAATTGGCTTCTAAATGCTGCAGGTTTTCATCCTTGGACATTCCAGTTAGATCTTTTTAAATCTTCCATCTCTCGTCATCATATCCATTTTTTTCTGTACATTATCTGATGTATTTTCAAGATTAATAATAACTGTTTTAAGGTTTTTCTGCTACTTCCATCATCTCTGTCATTTCAAGGTTTATTTTACTGATTAATTTTTCTCCTATAATGACTCATATTTTTCTTCTTCTTTCTATGCCTGGTAAGTTTTCATTGGTTGCTGGACACTGAGAACTTTACATTGTTGAATGCTGGATTCCGTTGTATTCCTTTAAAGAGCATGGCTTCGTTTTGGCATGCAGTTAAGTTACTGCAGTCATTTTAATATTTTTGAAATCGCGTTTGAGCCTTGATAAGCCAGGTCAAGAACAGCCTTTATGCTAGGACTGTTAGCCCCACAATTAAGGTGTTGCCCTTCTTTGGACTCTAATCAAGACCCCGTGTCTTATGCACGCTTTCCACTGTGACTAGTGGAGCACATGCTCTTAACAGTCAAGAGCAAGGTCCAGGGATGTTGGGTCTGCTGCTTCCTGGATGTGGTTCCCCCCAACTCAGGACTGTGCACATCAGTTCTCAGCCAGAGGTTAGAGAAGACCCACTGACGATCTCAGCAACTCGCTCTGGGCAGCTCATCTACAAGAACTCTGTCCCACATATTTCAGCCACCTTGGCCTCCTAAATTCCACTCTTAAGTCTCCTCAATTCAGCCAGACCTCCAGACTTTGCTTCAATTTCCTCTCCCTTCGTGGTAGGGTCTGGACACTGCCTCTAGGCTGTGATCTGAGGCAATTTTAGGGCTCACCTTGTTTGTTTCTTTTTCTCAGGCTGCCAGTTGTCCAGTGTCTAGAAAGTAATGTTTTATATATTTTTTCATATGTTAACAATGAGGACATTCTTATGGTCTAGATGCTTCATCATTTTAATGCATGTAAATTTTAGATCAATCTCTGCCATAGATAGATAGATAGATAGATAGATAGATAGATAGATAGATAGATAGGCAGAGGTAGAGACAGATAGAGATACATAGATAAAAATACACACAGAGGTATATTAGCAAGCAGACACATACAGTCATACAAAATGTCCAGAGTTCTAAAGGGTTCACTCTCTCTGACTCCAGATGCACCTCCAGTGTCATGTATAGAAGCCTTTTCCTGAAGCAGTTAGTTTGGGTTCTTATAACCAGCTTGATAGGAGACAGGATTTTCTCTTCCAAGAAATGCAGAAGGCTGGGGCCCCTGGGTGGCTCAGTCGTTAAGCGTCTGCCTTCGGCTCAGGTCATGATCCCAGGGCCCTGGGATCGAGCCCCGCGTCAGGCTCTCCGCTCAGCAGGGAGTCTGCTTCTCCCTCTCCCATTCTCCCTGCTTGTATTTCCTCTCTCGCTGTGTCTCTCTCTGTCAAATAAATAAATAAAATCTTAAAAAAAAAAAAAAAAGAAAGAAATGCAGAAGGAAAAAAAAAAATGCAGAGGTAGGACCAAAGGTCTCCAGACTTCAGGTACAACATCAATGTCAGGGACAGTGGCTGGCTGTTTTATACCTTATTTATGACAGTGTCCCAATAGGTCATTCTTAACAATAGCATATCTAAAAACGCCACACATTTTCATAATCAAAAACTACTGTCATTTCATATGATAATAAAGCAATGCCAAATTGTTATTATCGATTAGGATTATTGTGTTCATATTATATGCTGATTAGTTAACCCTACCATTTTTATGAACGCAGTATTTGTAAGGAACACTTAATATATGAGAGAAATACAATGAAACAGGAGTGAATGAAACAGAATGTATAGATCTCTTTATTTAAGATCAAAGAAACTAAGTGTGTGGAACGGACAGAATAATCACTTTGCTACTTTTCCGCTAATAACACTTAGCACTATCCATTTTTCTTCTGATTCCAAGACAGTGCTGTATCAGTGTTACCTGGTAAATGGATATTTTGACCTCAAACTATCCAAAGTGAAAGATGGATGGATATCGCAAACCAGATATTCAGAAGTTGTGGGACTCCTTCCAGGGGTGACTAATTTTAGTAGAAATGTGGTGGATTCCTACATCCGGGAGGAGAGAGAAACACAAAGGTTGCCCAGGGGCTGTTGGTCTTCACAGCTGCTTATCCCAGGATGCACACGTCTTCAGAACTGGATAAAAAAGTCAGCATCTCCTTCCCTTACAGGTTCACCAAGGTAAACTTCCCTTACAGGTTCACCAAGGTAAATTCAACCATGGTAAATTCTAAAGCACATGAGAATTTACATGCAGACGATGAGTATACGGCTCTTTGGCTTTTCTGCCCCCCACATAAATAAAACAGCGAACCATTTAAGAATGAGGAAAGCAGCTGGGTTTTCTGTGAAGCTGGTTAGAGAATTCTGCATAGCACACCAGGTCCCAGGTGAATCCTGAACTCCTTCTCAGAAAACACGATTAACCTAAGGAATGGTTTAGCTGCTCTGATAAAAGTTGTTTTCAAAAATGACAATTGGTATTACCTAAAAAATAACCATAAAAACTCCCCAAACAACTATGTCCGAAAACAAAGCTTTGTGATGGTCAGATTTGCTGCTGAATGGAAGAATCACAGGGAGGAGAAGAAAAGAAATAGGTCACCTTTGCTAAGGACAGACAGACAGACAGCTGTCCTCCCAGACGGTCTGGATGTCAACGCCGGTTTGTACTTCTGGGCTTCTCCCTGCAGCAACTTTCTTCAAGAAAAAGAGAAACTCTGCAACTGACTTTTAGTCAAACCATATATAGAAGAATCTCACCAGGAGACTTGAAGTTTCTGAAGCAGAGCCTGGAAATGCCAATTAGTAGAGGTGTGTGGCAAGAAAGTGCATATATACGACTTCCCTTTTAAGGAAAAGAATTTCCTAAGAGTATTATTCTTTTCCTAAATGTGTAATACACACACACACACACACTTGAAATATACATTCATGCCTACTGACAGGTAAAAGGAGAGTCAAATATAAATATAAAAGGTTTCCAGAAGAGAAGAAAAGAAGTTTAGATCAAGATTTACTTTGTTTTATTTAAAGGGAACGCCTTCTGTGGCTAAGAGTTGCTCAAATGTTTGTTCTTCAATTAAAACACTAGTGGTTTCAGAATGTATACCTTTCTTTCACCTTTGATAGACAATTAATGATATCCACTGTGATGGCGGTATCACTCCCCCCCCACCCCCACCGTACTCCCTCTGAGGGAGAGAGGCAAATGAGAGAACATTAAAACAGCCTGCCAATTAACCAACCAATTATCTGAACGTGTTCAGACAATGCTGGCACTTTATACCAAACTTTTTGAGATTAATTTATTTATAGCTTTTCTTTGTAGCTTCAGGAGGGAAGCTACAAGTCTTTTAGGGAAAGCAAGCAATTGTTTTCCTGCAGATAATGAAAATAATTAATGTTAGAAGCATGACTACCCTGAATAAAGTGCCAATAATACAAAAGACAGATGGGACCCTCGTTTTGCAGATATATAGAGGTGCAGAATACTCACTAGATCAGAGCATGATTGTAGGTTTTTGATTTTTTTAAACCTCTATTATTTTTTCTAAATTTTCTACAATGATCCTCTCTGCATGGTTTCATATTTTTAAAAGAAAGGAATCATGCTTAGTATGGGGAAATGTAAAACAACACATTTCACAGATTCACAGTGTACAACGGACAGCTATAATCTAAGAATAGCATTGACCCTGGTGAGTGAGCATCAGCAACCCAATCAGGAGACACAAGCCAGGCTGGCCTGCAAAGCTGTGTCCTACGAGGGTACCTGGTAAATGCTCCTCTTAAAATCTGAAAACAGGTAAAAACAAAGCAAGATATCTTACGCATTTACACAAATAGAGATATGCACACTTCTAACTTCTGCGGTGTTGGCTGTCAAATATTCCTGGGGGACACCCCAAGATTTGAACACTCATGTCTGTGTCACATGCAGGCTGAGACCAGGGTGGAGAGAGAGGGGCCCAGCACCCAGCTAAGGGTGGGGGCAGGGGCGATGTCCCCGGGGCCTCGGAGGAGAACCCCATCCTCCAAGACAAATGATATAAGATCACCACTCCCATTCACCAGGAGCCCTGCACAATCACTTTCCTTATTAGATTTCCTTTTATGATGCTCAAAACCCAAGTAGCAGCATTCCCAGGCGGAATAGAACATACCTGGGGATTGGGGGTGGGGAGGAATGTAAAAAATTAAATGCCACCTGCATTTGGCTGCAAAGATTCTGTAAAATGAAAAAGATGTTTACAGCAGCTTTATTCATAATTGCCAAAACTTGGAAGCAACCAAAATATTCTTCAGTAAGTGAATGAATGGGTAAATCCAGACAATGGAACATTATTCAGTGAAATCATGAGAAGCCTGAAGCTCTGCAGACATATAAGTGAGAGGAGGTACCAGCAGGAGGCAGAACGAAGGAAAGTCAACTGATGTTTACTGACCCCTGACCTACGTTCCATTGTGCAACACCTGCTCTCAGGGTCTTCCTCAACCTTCCCTTGCAACAACCAAATTAATGGATATGATTGGGTCCAGTCTGCAGGTGAGGGCTAGGTGCTCAGGGAAATTGGAGTCCAGTCCTGGGAAGTGGGCTTGGGGTCAGGACTCTGGTCCTTAGAGTGATGAGAGCAGGAAAATGGAGCCAAGCCCCAGCTTTGGAGACCAGACTGACCACAAGGCAGGACCCAGCAGGGAAAGGAGAGGGGGCTCCATGGAAGGACAGGGACCATCTAGCAGGCATGGGGCGCAGAGGTAGCCAGACACTGAGCCACTGGGCTGCTCTACTCAGAAGCCTCCATCCAGAGTCTGGATGCGAAAGCACCACTGACAACAGGGCTCAAGGGGCTGCAGGGAAGGGGTCCAGGCCAGACATCAGGTTGCTGGCCCCAAAAGGCCACGAGCATCTTGAATATCCCCTTCCTTCTGGGCAGTGACCTCAGCCAGAGGAGGAAACAGCTAGATGAGGCTTCCAGATTTGCCCACATATGAGCTCCATCCTTGCAGATGTTATGCAGGTGCTCCTGGAAATGGATATGTCGATTATCCTGCTGGGATGTGACCATGCCCAGGGATCAGTAAAGGGATAAGGGGAGGGAGACCTACAACCAGGGAAAGCCCTTTATGGGAAATGAGAGCTACTGGGGACTCCCTAAGAAGCCATCTTAGTGAAAATATCAAAGAATCACATGGGTGGCAGGGAAAGGAATAAGATAAAGACGAATGATAAAAAGGACAGGGTAATAAATCCCATAAGAGACTGGGCAAATCCAAAACCATAAAGAAAGAGATGGCTTCTATGGGTGTCTCGCAAGTCGGGATTTGTTATGTACATCAGTATTTATAATCAGGAACAGAAGAAAGTGAAGTACGTTGTCTGGAATTCAGGTTTCCAAGCGTTTATGTAGTAGTTTTAGGCAAAAAAAAAAAGAGAAGAAAAAGAAAAGAAGAAAGTTCAGTAATGATTAAAATTACTACTCATCCCCAAAACCAACTTATTATTCTTGTCATTAAAAAAAAAAAAAAAAAGACTAGAGTAGTTGTCATGATATCATTAACACAGGAAAGCGAGCACACTTAGAAAGAGGATTCCCTCTCTGGGTTCTATAGGGTAAAGGTTAACTTCCAATTATAGACAAACATGCCAAATATTCATCCCAGTTCAGTAAAAGCCTACTCTGAACCGTATTTGTTTTGCATTAATCTGTTATTGTGTTCAACATTCTAAGGGCGTGAGGAGTCATTTACTTGATTCAGTCATGAGATTCGGAGTGCTGATTGGAGTTATTAACACCACTTATCATCCCAAGTTCCTAGCTTGCAAAATCTATGAATCATGTTGCCACATGGTTACCAAAATGGAGTTAGGAAATACTCCAGTCTGACTCTCCAAATGCAAGTCACATATTTGCCATTAAGTTCTGGAAGAGGGGTTGGGCTCTATCTCAGGAAGCAGAGACAATGTGCCATGACAGACATGCACCAGTTTGAAAGACCCAAGTGATGTCCTCCTGTTTCATGTGCCCAGGGGTTTCTAAATAATACAAATGTCAGCAGCCCTTATGATGATGAGTGGTCCCAAATCCCATCACAAGCACTCATCCATGTATCCCATGAAACTTAATGTAAAGATTAGAGTCTCTGACGAGGGAGAGTGGCCAAGTGCGCACGTTGGCTTTCAGGTTGGGACTGAGCTGGAAAGTGCATTTTGGAACATCCAAAGTCTGAGAAGACCAGGACATATTGATGGAAATGTGGAAATCATTTGGAAAATTGACAGGAGGCGGTGGAGTGAGTCAGCCTTCCAGTTAGATCGGAGCCTGATGCAGTCTGGCATTCTTAGGACAGCCAAACTCATCTAAGTAAATTGCTGATGGAGATGGTTCATATGCTCAGGAGGAGTTATGATCTCCTGATACAGAAGGAATACTCAGTCTATGAGCCTCAGGTTAAGTCAAAAAGTAACCAGCTAAACTGAAGAAGAGATTAACTCATGACAGCACATCC